GGGGGGGGGGGGGTGCTATCAGACAATATTAAAGAGTTGAACAGCCAATTCAACTCTTAAATCTCAGATTCAAATATAAAGATTCATGGGGATTTAAACCGGCGACCTCTCCAGTTCATTAAATTCGGTCTTATAATGATTTAATTCTTTTCATCGGGGAAAGTACATATATCATCATTCTGGTACTTCTTTATACCGTTAGCTCATGGTTATGCATATTATTCATGAATTTTGAAATTAGTAAACAATCTTGAAATTAGTGAACAATCCCTTGAAATTAGTGAAAAATCCCTTGAAATTAGTGAACAATCCCTTGAAATCTTATTTACTAACCAACCACACATTATACATATGGGACCAGGGTGTTAGGACTTTAACATTGGTTCTTAAAGGGACTGTAAGCGTAATTTTAAGTAAGCATTCAAGCAGAGATGGCAATGCCCGATTCACAACGGCAATCTAGAAACATTATCTGATTAATTACGTGGAAGATAAAGATTTAATTCTGATAATTCCTTTATGTTATTCTGGAGTAAAAATATACGACTATGAGTCACTTTTGAAGAAAAACCACAATTAAAAATAACCAGTTTTCAAAATTATAAACATTGCTTATATTTATAGTTTATACTCGATCAGACAAAACTTTTAAGGGTACCGTTGTAAATCGGGCATTGCCATTTTTGCATGGAGGGTCACTTAAAATTACGCTTACAATCCCTTTTGTAATCTCTCAGCGTACAATCCCTTTTGTAATCTCTTAGCGTACAATCCATGTCATCAATCGGTCTTTTTTAATCGTAATTGTAAGGATTTAAGTACAAATAGGGATGGGCATTAAACTGGTTGGTTTTTTGGAAGTTTTTTCTTTTTAGGGTAAAATCTGGGAAAAGTGTAAGAAAGCAGTTATTATTTCTAAACATTTGCCTTTCTTACACCAGATTTTGACCCTGACCGTACGAGTGCAAAAAACGAAGCAAAGAACGATGCAAAAGACATTAAGTGTTAGAACAATCCTTTCCCAGTTTTTTGTATGATAAAGATAAGATCTAAGTTTAATCAAAACAAACAGTTTTGAATCTTTTTTTAAACGATCCACTGTCACTTAGTACAAAGGAGAAATAAGAATAAAAAACAGTTTTAAAATTTGTAAAACTTCTCAAAATGTTATGGAACCTTTTAATTTCATAAGTTCAAAAAGTCTTAAAAAACGAATGAAATCCAATGCCCAACACAACGGCCTAGAGAAGTAGTTAAGCTATTCTAACCTAGTTCAACTATGTTCACTATTAATAAATTACAACCTCCGCATAACTAACCATTAACTAACCAACAACTAACTACTACTAACTAGGGATTTGTTAACTCTGGTTACGGGACTAACGGATTACATGTAAGTAATTAACATTTATTATACAGGGTGTCCCATAAACATTGGAATAAAATGACGATAGCAAGATAGTTTTCGTTAAGAATAGGCATAATAATACCTTCAAAAAAATAATTAATTTACGTATATTTTATAAAAATAATAGATAAGGAGCAGTGAAGTTTGAGACAAAATTGTGTTATGTAATTGTGTACAGGGTTACCCACATAAGATGAGACGTCAGAGACGACTGTAGGGAATTTATATCGTCTGTTTTCTAATATTCATGTTTCCTGATTTTTTTTTTGACAAACAATTAAATAGGCCATTTACAGGCACTGAGCAAGGCAGAAGACTTTAGTTAACCTTGAATTTGTTATGCTAAAAGAGTTTCAGGTCGTCTTTACGTCTCATTCGTTGTGGGTAACCCTGTACTGTACTGTCCTCATTTTACTACAGTACATTAAATTCAGGTCGTCTTTACGTATGATAATGATGGTTTTATTGCAATATTGTATATTTGAACCTCCCCCCTGGGAATGGGGGAAGTGCTTCCCCCCCTCCCTCACAATGCACTAACATTCATTTTAGCCTATATTGATGCATCCAATATAAACTGTCGATATTAATAATAAAAATAATACAAAGAGTCAATTTAATCAACGAAAAAAAAATGACATCGGGTTTTAAATGTTAAAAGTCAAAATTAATAAATAGATAAATGCACCAAAAAGATTTTAAAAAATTGTATAATGTATATTTTTTTTTATTTGGAAAATACAGGGTGTCTCACAAAACATAAAAAATTCTTTAAAACAATCTTTTTTTCTAGAACTCGCCCTTGCGCCCGTCCCCGCCCAATCCGTCACCTGGAACCCCTGGTCCTCCAATGATGGGACCAGGATTTCCTCCGATGGGACCCAGATATGGTCCACGTGGTCCACCGATGCGGATGCCGATGATGGGCCCTGGCGGAGAACCCTTTAATGGTAAATATCTTCTTTATAAAGTAGTAATCTCAGTTTGTTTGTATGTCCGATCATAACTCATGAACCCTTTGACCAACTTGCCTCAAATTTTGACCGAGGAACTTAGTAGAATGTTTATAGCTTGAATTAAAAGGGTTAAGTTGAATAGGTTGACTCTCAAAAAGAAAACTCAGTTTCAAGGCAAACCTGGTTTCTCAAGCTAGTGTTAAATAGCCTTTTTATTTTTATTATACATTAAGGTCTAATAAATATAAGATGTATTTCCAAAGAGTAGAGACATAATTGATTATTAGTGGTCAGACGGGACAATAAAGTGGTCAGACGGGACAATAAAGTGGTCGGACGGGACAATAAAGTGGTCAGACGGGACCATAAAGTTGTCAGATATAAAGTGGTCAGACGGGACAATAAAGTAGTTAGCAGGGACAACAAAGTATTCAGACGGGACAATAAAGTGGTCGGACGGGATAATAAAGTGGTCAGAGGGGACAATAAAATGGTCAGACGAGACAATAAAGTGGTCAGACGGGACAATAAAGTGGTTAGCAGGGACAATAAAGTGTTCAGACGGGACAATAAAGTGGTCGGACGGAACAATAAAGTGGTGAGATATAAAGTGGTCAGATGGTATAATAAAGTGGTCAGACGGAACAATAAAGTTGTTAGCAGGGACAATAAAGTATTCAGGCGGGACAATAAAGTGGTCAGACGGGACAATAAAGTGGTCGGACGGGATAATAAAGTGGTCAGACGAGACAATAAAGTGGTCAGACGGTACAACAAAGTGGTCGGACGGGACAATAAAGTGATCAGACGGGACAATAAAGTGATCGGACGGGACATTAAAGTTGGATTTGAAGAAATTGAGTCTGGAGGAAAAAGACAAAAAATGAGGTCACAGAAATATAAAAAACTTTTTTAAAATGTCTTATTTATTAGATGGAGATTTCTTTCATCTCCAAGGTCCGCCTGGTATGGGCCCAAGAATGACCCCACCACGAGGTCCACCAGGCGGTCCAATGGGTTACGGACCCATGCGTGGTCCACACCCCGGACCTATGCCCCCTATGTCTGGAATGGGGGGTCCCCGACCCCCTTGGCCCCCCTCAGCAATGTCGCCATTTCCTCATCATTCACCAGGATATGGTGGCCCACCCCAGGGACCAGGTGGAATATAATAATAATGATAATAATAATAATGATGATAATAATAATAATGATGATAATAATAATAATGATGATAATAATAATAATGATGATAATAATAATAATGATGATAATAATATAGAGGCTCCCTGTGTCGGAGCTGTTACTAGTTCAACTGTCCTAACATGACTGAATACCGGGAGGGAGCTGGGATGAGCGGAGATTCGACATGTGGGCATTACATGAGGAGGAAATGGATTTGAGTACACATACATCTAGAGAAAAGGCTGGGGCATTTGAGTCGGAAAAATCGTCTTCCTTATATTTCGAATTAATTTTAACAAATGTATCTGGGATAAGGTCAATGTCAATCCTGCACCAAGTTTTGCTGCAAAATCTTACAGTTCGGTAACTAGAGGTAATGATGATTATAGTGGTACAGGGGCAAGACCAAAGAATCTTACAGTCCCCCTAAGAGCAGGAATAGGTAGAGAAAGATCTCCTATAGTGTAAAGAGAGGATTAAATGATGGAATAAACTCTCAAAACAAAAGAAGGAATGTAGGGAAGCCAGTTGTCTCTGGTACAAGAACTCAATAGAAAATAAGAAAAATTAAATCCCCTCCGGCTGATATTTTCTGTTATGTTATTCCTAAAGGTACCACCAAACAGGATATTGTGGATGACTTAGAAGAAGCTGATATTAAGATAACAGTTGGCGATATTGTGCAGATGTCTAAACCAAATGAAACATCAAATGTTATTAGCTTTAAAATCTCTGTTCCAGCTGAAGATCTTGAGAAAGCCTTGGATCCCACTGTGTGGCCCTTGCGAGTACGTGTCCGTGAATTTATCCATTATAGGAAGCGGTATTCTGATAGAAATGGAACCACAAGTGTATCAGATTCTGATAAAAATGGAACCAAGAGTGTAGAGAAGAATAGTGCTACTGGTGGTGCAACAGCAGTACAATGATAGATACAGCTAGTACTTTGTGCTTAACTAGCTATAATAGTGGGGGTATGGGAATTGATAAACAGAACTTTATAAGTTTGCTATCTTTGTTCTCAGACATTTTATGCATTCAAGAACACTTCCTTTTGGATTCTGGGGATCGGAAACACAGCAATACTAACAAACTTAAGAAATATTTTGGTGAAACTCATGATATGTACATCGTGCCTGCATTCNAATAATAATTAAATAATAATTACAAAACTATTTTTTAATATTGTTTTTAAATCAACGCAAGGTTATGGTATTGTTAATTGTTTATGATAATGATAATTTGTTCCTAAATGAATGATCACATGGATAATAATAATACAGGTACCCCGATCATGCCAAGTCCCGGACACGGTCCTGATCCTGGCCCTGATCCTCTCTTCATGATGAAGAATGTTCCTACCAGCATTTCAGGGGTAATAATGTCGTCTTTCTTCTTTCAAATTCTGAATGTCGTCATACTTTTACCTTGGATTATTAAGTCGTCTTCTTTCAGTATTAATTGTTTCCAGGGAGCTAGACTAGACTTGATAATAATTGTTTCTAGGGAACTGGACTATACTTGATAATAAATAGTTTCTAGGGAACTGGACTAGACTTGATAATAAGGATGAGAGAGAAAAGGGGGGGGATAGTCAAATGGGGATCACATAAGCGAAGAACATAAGAAAAAAAGGCAGGGGTATAAAAAATAAATGTCATATTTTAAGAACCAGAATTCTTACAATTTAATTGTTTTACTGAAAGCACTGGGACATGACTCAATTGGTACGTTATGAACTAAAGTTATGACTTAAAAGGCACGTTATGAACTAAAAATAATACTCAAAAGACACGTTATGTACAAATGGCAATACTCAAAAGGCACGTTATGAACCAAAGACATGACTCAAAAGGCACGTTATAAACCAAAGACATGACTGAACAGGCAGGTTATGAACCAAAGACATGACTGAACAGGTAGATTATGAACCAAAGACATGACTCAAAAGGCACGTTAGAACCAAAGACATGACTCAAAAGGCACGTTAGAACCAAAGACATGACTCAAAAGGCACGTTATGAACCAAAGACATGACTCAAAAGGCACGTTATGAACCAAAGACATGACTCAAAAGGCACACGGTAAGACACAACTTAAATTTTGCTAGATAAATTACAAAATGAATAGTTTGGTGACGTTATAAGGAGGAAAGGGAAGGAAAGGGAAGGGAAGGGAGGAGGTTATTGAAATAGTACACTGTAATATTGCAAAAACTACTATTATAGAAATAATATATTCGATCCTTTTATGTTCATAGACTACCACTGTATTATAGACTTGGTATTATATGTCTCACTTACACCTGACATTTTCAGTTCGAATAAAAAATGTTCTTCAATTTTTCAACAATGAAGCTTTTACATCTAAATTGAGTTTATTATTTTGATTTTCTTCACTTTAATTTAGATTCTCAGACCGTGGACATTAATGCAAACGATATATAGCACCTCCATTCAATTTAAAGGGAAAACTTCTGTTTTTTAACAATATGAAAACTTAAACAAAATTATACTTCCATGGCACAAAATTGATTTTTGAAAATTCAATGGATTATAAATGACAATTATTTAGATATTCATTAATTTGTATGCTTATTTATTAATATGAAAGGAAACATCATAATAAAATGAATTTTCACCGTACATTAGTCTATAAATCACTGTAAGTGTATTGCATGCGTGTTTTTACAGGGTTACCCAATAAAGGATGAGACGTTGTAAAGACATGGCATGGAGACGCGTACTGCCGCAAATATATAATTTGAGGTTCGGAAGCTGTGCAGGGGAGGTGTCCTTCCCTCCCTCGTATAACTGTGTATATAAATGTATGTGTACTCCATGACCCTTGTCAGAGTACTGCATGTATGTGTGTACTGTGTAAATAAATGAATGTTTACTCTATGACCCCTGTATGCAGTACCTGTTCTAGAATGAGAGTGAGGCGATACTGAAGATCAAGGAAAGCATGCAAGAAGAGGCCAAGAGGTTTGAAAAGGAGTCTGAGGGTGGGGGTCCTGGAGGCCCTGGAGGTCCTGGAGGACCAGGAGGAGGCGGAGGACCTCCTCCGGGAGGTCCAGGACCTAGTTTAGGTCCTGGGGGTCCCTCAGGAGAATTTTTCATGCAATAATAAAAATAAGTAACGATTAAAACCATTTTGAAATTGCATAAAATTCTTTTTTTGTCTTTCCCTTCCTCCTCAGTATTTATGTTGTGCTCTGTTACCTAAAGAAAGTGAAGATGTAATATTTTAAAGGGACTGCACAGTGCACAAGCATCTTCAAGTGATCTTTCATGGCAAGAGGGCCATTCACGATTCACAACGGCACCTTTTTAACCTTTCTCTGATCAAGAATGTTGAAGATTTTGTCTTGAAAAATGTTTAATTCTGACAGACAATTTTCTACATTGTTTTTGAAGCATAAATTCGCAATTTTCAATGTAAACAAACATGGATATATCATTCATTCTTGATGATACAATGCTTGCAAGGCTGTACTTTGTGAATCGGACATTTCGCTCTTTAATGGAGGGTTACTTAATATTATGTCCACCTGCAGTCCCTCCAATGAATGAATGAGAATGATGCTACAGGGGGACACCATGCATACAAAAAGGATTGAAATGTGAAACGACCTGTAAATATCTGAAATAGTTAACCCACGTCAGATACAGCTTGTCATTCAAAGTTTTCAGATCAAGTAAAAAATTCGTTAGGTCGTCATTAAACCCTTATTTTATTTGGATAACCCTGTAGCATTTCAGTTCATTGATAGAGACTTATGTAATTACATTTTTAAAAATTTGTGATTTGTAAATTGTAAATTGTAACCATATTTATTGTAAATAAAAAGTAAATTTATGAGAAAACTCGGATGACTTTATAATGTAAACAATAAAAATATAAATTTCCTTTTCCTTTCCTTTCCATTCCTTTCCTTTTCCTTTCCTTTTCCTTTCCTTTCCTTGTCCCTTTATTTCTACTTTTTATATTTTTTTTTAATTGGGGGGAAATATTTTCTTCTTTAACACTTAATTTTGTATGTTTTTTTATTTTTCATAAATAAATGATTACTTACTTACTACAATTTTACATAGAAATTATTAGCGATAACCCCCCCAAAAAGTCGGTCGTTCGTTTTTTGCACAAATAGTTTTTCGAGGGCAAAATTTAAATAATTGTAGTAAATGGATTATTTACAGAAATAGTAGGTTTTACTATTTCTGTAAAAAAACCATTTCCTATTCTGGTTTAAATTTTACCCTTGAAAGACTATTTTTGCAAAATAATCTGTGTTTAAATAATTAAATAGATAGATATATTTGACTAAATATTTAAACAATACAAATTACAGATACGTAGGCACAATTTTACAGTTTAATCCAGCCAGAATCTCTCTAACTGCATTAATGGTTGTTTTGAATGAGAGCTTTCCTTTTTCAGCGATAAATTCATATATTATATTAAAATTGAACAAAATGAAACTAAAATAAGAATTAAAGGAAAGCAATCATATAGTTGGAGGAAGAGGAAAAGATTATAAAGGAGTAGAAAGAGGAAAAGGTATAATTTTTGAAGAATGACAGGAAAAAATAAGAAATTGGAATGGTAGAGGAAGGGGGGGGGGTCAACGATCCTTCCTTCCTTCCTTCCTTCTTTCCTTCATTCCTTCCTCCCTTCCTTCCTTATAACCTTTCCTTTCATCCCTTCTTTTTCTTCCTTTCCATTCCTTTCCAATTTAAAAATAATTTTCAGAAGCCGCCCTTTCTCTTTCAATACGCTGAGTCGTCTTTGCTTTCAGAACCAGAATCCGGAAAAACTTCTAGCACAGCGGGCCAGTAAGGTAAGTTAAGCGAAAACGAAAAAAATATTTATAAAAATAGGTTCTAAAAAATAATTTTCTTTTTAACTAAGGATCATGCTTATGTCGAAAAAATTGTAAGAAAATGAATTATTTTGGTTTGCAAAATTTTTCCGGAAACCTAATTTTACCCGCTGTGCCAACGAAGTCTAGAGCGCAATGCCGCAAATTCACTATTTTCTCTGAAATACTTGGATACTATTTCCGGCACCGTGGTCACAGGCTGAAGGGTGGCAAATTTGCACCCGTTCATGTTAGTCTGTTTGTTAGTTACTAGTAGTTAGAGAGTTATCCATGTTATGTATAGTACATGTGAAGTTTTAAATTTGTTGGAATATTCCTAGAGAACGATTTTTGGACCCCCTCCCTCCTATCAATTTTGTACAAGGATCTTAAATGTTAGACATGGATATAATTGACCATGTGGCCGCAGCGCTCGGCCCAGAAAGTGTCTGAACTAATCTAATCCGTGCCCCTAGCGCTCGGCCCCCAAGTCTGTCCTAGCCGCAGCGCTCGGCCCAGCTTAACCCTACTTGACAATAAGTAAATACTTATTTTAATTTTGCCATGCACTAAATTGATGGGAGGTGGGAGGCTGGGGGGGGGGGTCCAAAAATCGTTCAGTAGTACAAACCCAATGGGTGATAATTCATGTAACCAATAATTATGGGTTGGACGCAATTTGAATGTTATCAAGTGAATTTATGTCGTTAATGGGGTAGTTACACGTAATAATTATTTTGTGAATAGGGATTTTAAAATGATATCCTTGATTGAATTTCAGAGCCGCAAGTGGCCATAAGAAGCAACGATGGTTAACGGTCGTATTCCCATCAAAACCAGTAAAACCTACACCACTCCCAGGAGACCTTTCGAGAAGGCTCGTCTTGACCAGGAGTTAAAGCTTATCGGTACGTAGATTCATGTATTATATTTTAGTTGATGGGTTTTCATCTTCACATAGATGTTATTTGGGGGGAGGGGGAGGGGGGTATTCCGCTGAGATTTATTTGGTTTATTTTTCAAAAGTCCAGTAATTTGCTTAAAAAATATTTTAATATTAGCTCAGTCTAACTAATAAAATACTTCTGACAAATTCAGTATCAAATTATCCCACTGGCATCTAGAGCACGTATTAACCTATTTGTGTGTTAAGGCGAGTATGGTCTGAGGAACAAGCGTGAAGTCTGGAGGGTTAAGTACAGTCTTGCTAAGATCCGTTCCGCTGCCAGGGAGCTTCTCACCCTCGAGGAGAAGGATCAGAGGAGACTTTTCGAAGGTAAGAATTAAAACGACCGTTCTCAAAATTTTCAAGGGTTTACTTCCATGTGCCATTTCTTAGAGAACGATTTATGGACTCCCCTCCCCCCCCCACCTCCCTGGCTATTTTGTACTATAATCTTGTATGTTTCACGGGGGTATATTTGGTCATGTGGCCGCAGTGCCAGCCCCCTAGCCTGTACTAACCATGGCGCTCGGCCTCTAGACTATTCCGGCCGCAGCGCTCGGCCCCCTAGCCTGTCATTGCCTCAGCGCTCGGTCCAGAAATTGTCAACCTAACCCTAAAGTAATAAGAGATAAAGAAAAAACCCCTTCAATGGATTGTAAATCTTAAAGAATTTTACTATCCTTAACTTAATCAGGGCGTCCCAATAAAAATGGTAATTAAGTGACAACTTGCATACCTTCTTTGGTCCATGCGTCATTTTCACGAATACGACTACTGCAGTATTTTAGTTGGAAAGTAATTAATTTTGAAGACGCCTGGGCTTAAGATTTTCTTACGTATTGAACCATTCTTGCATCTTCATAAACTGACTTGAGACATTGCTGAATTTGAATTATTTTATTTTTATTTAATGAATCAAAATCGATTTCAGTGTTTCGGATCCGGATCCGTATCAGGAAACGTTGATATGGACCCGGGTAGCGCCAAAAATTAACCAAAACCTTGGAATAAATCAATCAAAATGGTTCGTAAATGTATTATTTACATGACGAAAATTTTTCAAAATTATCTTTAATAATTTAATGTTACATTTATATAATAGTAATGACGACATTTTTAACTTCAGGATTACTATAGTTTATAAATTATAACCTTGCATAACATTTAATAGGGAAAATCCGATTCACAGAATCTAAAGTTACCTCGGATCCGGATCCGTATCAGGATCCGGATCCATCATCACGGACGCGGATCTGGATCCGAATCAAAATGATATGGATCCGAAACATTGATCGATTTAATACATCTTATCTTTTTCATTTCAAGACACGAGTAAGGAAGACCACTTTTTGAAAAGCTCGTAAGACGTACAGCTTCGTTTTTATACGTTCTTTGCCATGCATTGAAGATATTAGAAATCTAAGACAACTATTCAAGTCTTCTCTTAATTCCCATATTTATTGGGAAACCCTGTATAAATAAATAATACTTGATACTGGTATTCGTGAAGTAACATCTTGATTGTAGCTTTTGGATATGCACCCCCATGATATTCACGCTAAAGCTTTGTATCTAGGTAATGCGCTTCTGCGTCGTCTTGTACGTATTGGAGTACTCGATGAAGGTCGCATGAAGCTCGATTACGTTCTCGGTCTGAAGATTGAGGATTTCTTGGAGAGACGACTCCAGACTCAGGTAAGCTTAGACTTCAGAGCGTCAAATAATTTCCTAGAACATTCATGCCCACTGCCCCCCCCCCCTTCTTTTTTGTACAATAACCTCTAATGTAACGTAATTCAGTTATCAAAGTTTTTTTACCAGTTTCTCAGTAAAATATTAATTTTATGTTATGTAAAATGCTTCTTTTAATGTAGTTTGTCTTGTATGATATTTGTACAAGGTTCGTGAAAACTATGGGCCTCTTTTACTGTCGGAATACTTTCTTTGAAGCATGTATATTTAAAAGTATTAATGGTAAAAGTGTTCCTCTGAGCCCGAATATTTTCAAATTTACGGTCGTATTTAAGATGTCCTAAATACGTCTCCGTACTCTATAGTGTTTTTCCGCTAGATGTCTCCCGTTAGTTATTTTCGGACAGACAGACTTACTCACGTCATGGTTACTCACATAATTTCGCCGTGAGTTAACCTTATTATAGATGTCAGCACCTGCACACAATACAACTTTATAAATACAGGGATAAATAGTAATCACAATTTTAATAATACAATTTAATTCAAAAAGTCAAATTTTAATCCGATTTTGATAAAAACTAAATAAAAAATTTAATAATCTGAAGTTTTATTTTACGAAAAATATTATAATCCATGAATTCTTGAGAAATTAATATTTTTGAAAGTCATGCAATAAAAAGCATCCCTGAAAATGTATTCACGCAGTGAATTGAACAGCTTTCTATTTATTTTAGTCTATAGGGGTCGCGCGCTGTTGCAGTTTATGGTCGGACACTAAATGTTGTAGAAAATCCCATTTAGACAGTACTTAATTCCTCCGTATTGAGGACGTTAGTAAGTGGAGACGTCATATGTTTGCAAAAAGTACGGATGAAAATATTCGGGCTCTGAACAACTAAGTGTTAGCCTTTTAGGGTTAATTATACTGCCATTTATTAAATATATGTTTGTCATGGACGTTTGAAACTTGATTATTCCTTGTATTACAGGTGTTCAAGCTTGGACTCGCCAAGTCTATTCACCATGCTCGTGTTCTCATCAGGCAGAGGCACATCAGGGTCAGGAAGCAGGTAACAAATAACTTAATGAAAGGAATCGTTTTAAGATTGTATCTTGAACCGTAACAATGGGAGTGTTAATATCCTTTATACACTTGACGGGATAGAATTTTTTAAGCTCATCAAACCAAATTTTGATACTTTTCATTTCGATTAAAAAACCTTTTTTAAATTATATATTTTTCAATTGTCCAGGTTGTGAACGTACCCTCCTTCATTGTCCGTCTCGACTCCCAGAAGCACATTGACTTCTCTCTCAAGTCACCCTTCGGTGGCGGCAGGTAGCACATGCTTTGGTCTTAAAGAAAAGCAACTGGTTGTCCCTTGAATCATGACCAGCTAAGATGAAGCTTGCCAATCGTCATAAGAATATTATGCAGCTTGTATATCTTGGACATGGGCTTTGAAACTGTTTTTAAAAAATTTAGTCCTGGTATTTTCGGAATGTTTGAAGTTGTTGGGGTCATAATGTAGAGTTAAAGATTTTGTCTAGATTTTTTTCTTAAATTAAATCATAATTGTGCAATCAGGACAAAGCCGTCAAAAATGTATCTTTCTAAAATTTGGACTTAAAAATTCAGAACACAGGTATTCTGATAAACATAGGCGTTTTCTTTATACGAACGTATGAACGACGGTAGTTTGGTCACATAATATCTTGCGTCTAGTCATAGACAATTAGGACGCACACAGACTGAGACGTCACCTGGTCGACGGTTTATGTGATATGAAACAGTCTCTTTGAGAACTGTTAAAACATCGAGTTTAAGTTTTAAACCTTAAATTGGAGAAACTAGAAATATAAAATTAATATTAAACATATATTTATGTTCTGTAGGGCCGGACGTGTCAAGAGGAAGAACGCCAAGAAGGGATCTGGAGCTGCTGATGAGGATGAAGAGGACTAAACTGAAAATCGTCGCCGATTCGTCGGTGGCAACCGTACATTGCCGCTCCGCTGAACAAGCCAGGAGCGGTGCTTTTACTCCGGTCTAATCTAACTGGGTTTTTCAGAAAACAATGCTGAGATTTATTATTGCCACCGCTATCATTGCAACCGCCGCCGCGGTCTGCACCGATCCTAAGGTAGGACTTCTTATGAAAAAATTTTAACTTCACAACTTTTTACCCTAAAGTCTACAGACGGAATTTTATTTTGAACCTATGCTTATCAAATAGTCGATCCTTTTTTGTCAATTGAAAAATCTACAAAACTGAATATATAAATCTATTCTCTATTTTGTGTGCACAATCATTACTTCCATTTTTATATGTTAAACTAAGTAAAAGCACGGGGGGCGTTCTTAACTTCGTTCACAAATTAGGTTGGTTTATGATTTTTTTAGCTGTGTTCGCAAGCTTTTTGTTTTGTTCAGGTTCAAGCTTCCAGCTATACTCCTGCAGACTCCCAGGTGTTGGCTGCTATACCATACATAGCTGAATTCAGTCTAACCTGCGGGTAGGTTGGGTTTATATTGCATCAGATCATCTCTTCTCCCACCTTTCGCAATTAATTTTCACCTACAAATTAGGCAGTTAAGCTGCAAAGTGTCAATTTTGTTGATGTGTTCATTTGCTGAATTGTGTTTATTTGTTAATATCCCAAATAATATCAGTTCCCCCCGGATCATCAAAATTACTCGTCCCCCCCCCCCCCCCCCCCCACCAATTCTGTTCAAACGTTCTAGCTTTTGACTTGACTAAAATTGTTCTTTAATCGTTATTTATGACTGATGCGAACCTAGCAGAGACTGTTACTTAGAAAATCGGCACTAAACCATGGCTTTTTCTGTTATGCATTTGCCATAGATTCCAATGCATTTGCCACAGATTTCAAACACTTATTGCTCCATAGTTTATTCGATTTGAATCTGCTATTATTGAATTATGATGTTTGCAGGAACGGTGAAACCCCCTCACTTTATGCTGATATTGATGGAGCTCTGGTGCCGGTTGCCCAGTCTCTTGATGGTAGCAAGTATCAGGTAAACAGATGTACAAATGATAAGGCCGCCATGAGCCCCGCAAAATTTTCTCCAAGCCTCTGTATTCGTAGACGAGTTGAGTGTTCAAATGACCTTGCGCTACCCCTGTACGTTTAAATAGATCTCAAAGAATTGAAGGATAAAATATTAAAATATTTATCTGTTAAAAGTTATTCAGCGTTTACATGAATATCGAAAAAATATTGCACAACTATTCAAAATATTAAATATATTTAATATTTTTTACATTACTTTCGTAATATCTATTCTAAATGATAGTAGTGCCAGGTCATGCAAGTACTCGTCAGCGAATCTAAAGGCTTAGAGACTTATTAGCGGGGCTCATTGCCTCTCTGCACCCCTAACCTATACAAGGTGTAAAAAATTGCCTCTTAACACTAATTATTAACGTCAACTACTAGGCGTCGAATCTTCGGAACGTACTAGTAACTAATACAGGGGTATAAAATTTCCTGAGAAATCCATTTGTATATTCCCCCTCTTATGAATTTATTTATTTTTGCCCCCTTTCCTGTAAATGCCCCATTATATCTTATCCCCCAGATTTGTTGAAATTCTTTAAAAAATATACACCCCTGAACTAGTGAGCTTAAATTATTTATATTTGTCTAAAGCAAAATTACATTAAAGAATACAAAAATTTACAATTAAATCCTAATACACTTTTCTCTGATATCGCATTTTATGATAGACAGGATTTGTCTAAAAAACAGGTCCCATACGATTTAAAGCAAGATTTAAAGGTGGTTTCAGAAAAGGGGACTCTTGGTTCCAGTCTAGCATTTGCGTTTACTATTCAAGTCATATGATCAGAACACTGCTAGGCTTGATAGATATTCGCCCATGAAAATAATACTGGATTTGCAGTACTTTTGCCGTTTCTTTAGATTTGCTTTACTACTACTACTTTCCTGCTGGTGTTTTATAATGCACTTCTTAATCACTAGGTGAGCTGGATTAAGGAGATTAAGAAGGCCAAGACTGGAGATAACAGTGTTGCTCTCTATGATGTTGAAGGGTAAGTCAGTTTTATTTTTGTAATTGCAGCATATGCAATGAAAGATATAACCTAAATGTTTATCCTTCAAAGACAATGTTGCGAAATCAAATCTTGAGGGATATTTCCAGAATGAATATATTTATTTCTTCTGTATCCCTACCTGAAACAAATTCTCTCCTGTAATACTTTGTATCATTACCTGATAAAAATTTGTTCTATTCTGTATCCATACTTATTCCTAGTAACCACTCTGCTAAACAAGTTTTTAGGCGACATTTATTTATTTAGATACTCTGCTCTGCGAAGATCTCGTGAGAGGGGGGAGGCTGCTACTGTTGCACCCCTCGTGACCATTATTGTCAACTATCCCGGAAGCTTCGGTAAGTTTTTTGAAGAAATTCTCGCAGTTTTTTTTTTCTCAAACTTTGATCAGCCGTCTCTTAATCTTGTTGGAGAATAGTCCAATAAGGTTTCATTTGTTAGTATGAATTTTAAAATCTTAAAAAAAAGGTTTTAATTATATAATCTTGAAAATTAAACTTGCATTTTATTGGTTCTAAACCATGAAAGAGACCTGCCCGATTCAATATTGTATCCAAAAAAAAATCAGATTTTGTTAAATATCGGTTTTCACTTCTGACACTCTTTTATCATTGTATCTGCAGAATTAAGAAATTATCGAGTTTTGAAGAAACCACAACTGAAAATTATCAATTGAACGAGTTTAACATAGTACTATTGTGAATCGGATTTCTCACTTATTAGTTATTTAAAATTAAGAACTGGAAGTATGATATTGTTAGTTCATCAATAAATAAATATTGTTTCAGCTGGACCCTGGTTCAACTCTCAACACTTTGCCCTTGCTCTCTCCGCTCTGGTTTTTTACTTGGCTGTCTCTTCAAAATCAGCGCTTTTGGCCTAGACGCTGCGAACCCACTCGGATTTGGAGAGAATGTAAAACTGAGCAATCCATCTTACGCGATTATAACGCCAATTTTGGCCTTGTTGACAAACCATCGTCCTTGTAAACCCATTGTCAAAGATTGTTGGCAATTTCACAAGTTCAAACAAAAATTCAAAAACATTTCCATCTTTTATTATCAAAATTTTATGTATTTATTTTCCTTGCATTTAATCTCTTTTCTTTCACTTTCTAATTTATTGTTACAATTTTATTAAATGAATATTTTCAATTTAAATTTTGCAGATAATTATTTGACGGAAAAAATGGTTTTCAATTTCCCGATTGTTGAACGCAGTTTGTTTTCTTCTATAAAAGGTAGATTTTAGCACAAATTTGAAAATTAAATTTAAAATGATGTTTTAACAATAGATCCTTCTGACTTATGATGTTAAATAACGGTATCCTGATTATTTTTCACAAAATCCGTCCATTTTTTCCTTTAACCTTGGCTCAAAGTTTTTTTTATTAGGAAATGTGTCCATAGTTGATTTTGAAGATAAACCTGAACTGAATCTGGACCACTCAGGAATCCTGGCGAATATTTTTTTGGCGGAATCGTGATAGTAGTCGAGAATTTTAGATGAGGTTATGAAGTTCTTAAAATTGTGGAAATCCAGCCCGAGGTCCTGGTCGCAAGCTCACCAATCTTAATGGGAGAACACTGGAATAGGTAGATTTTAACTCCTTTTTTATTGTTTTTATTCAAATGATGTTTAACAATAGATCCTTCTGACTTATGATGTTAATTAACGGTATCCTGATTCTTTTTATCATTAAAAGTTTATTTAAGATTTATTTGCTTTGTTTAAACTTATTTTCTATTAGGAAGGCTAACCCTGATTCTGATAATTATGAAAGAGTGTACATGAAAGAAGCCTATGTAAAGCTGGAAAGGTTATCCATGACAAAGCTATAGAGAACACATGATCTTCACTTAATCTCTGAGATCGTGAGAAAGGAACTGAAGGGTTTGGGTTAACGTGTCTGGTCCTTGTTCCTTCTTAGTTTCTCACCATCATGTGTACGCAGAAGGCTTACTGATCCTGATACTTACTTAAGGTACATATCTTTACTTCACATGATCCCCACAGGGGTGTATATTTTCAAGTATAAACCAGGGGGTGCAGTGGGGCTGGGTCAATGTCCTGTGAATGAAAATGTATTTCAATTTTACTCAACTTTTTTTTGAATATTTTGTTTACGAGAAACTAAAAAAAAGTGAATATACATCGTTGTTTGATAAAAAGTGATGTTTCAACAATAGATCCTTCTGAACTATGATGTCAACCAACGGTATCCTGATTCAATACTTTTTGTGCTTATTCGCTTAAATCATTCTTGTTATTGAATTGAACTATCTATAGGTGTCGGGGACTTGTTTAATAGAAGTAGGACAGCTCTAGAAGTCGTTGGTGGAAGAGCTTGTTATCTTTGAAATCAATGAACTTTTCATAACCTTCAAGGTTTTATCAGACCTGCTGCAAACAACAAGATCAAGACTCTAGTTTATTTTCTACTAATGCTTTAACTGGTGATCCCTGGATTTTTGTCTAACAACTGAGCATACCCATACGATCATTTTTCAAGGAGTTTTAAGGACACTTGAGCATGATTGCAGCGTTCCTGAAATTCCTTGTGGAAAAGCATTCCGGTGGCAATACAGGCAAGACCGGTGGCAATACAGGCGGCAATACAGGCAAGAAGTTCTTCCGAGATCGTATTCCACTTCTCTTGTAGTTGTAAGGATCTCTTGTGATTGCAACGTCTGAGCGAAGAGATTACGACCATCCTTATTAAGCCTGCTTGGTTGTGACTGATTTATTATCACGTGAAAAATTTTAAGTTATTCAATATGATTTCATAGTTCTTACTCGATCAAGGCTTTCAAAGATGTGAAAAGAATATGGCCGTGTCACGTATATTAAGGGGATGGTGGAGTTGGCACATTTGATGTAGGGGGGGGGGGGCCCTGCCTTCATTTTTGGTTCAAATCTTCCAATTTTTTGGGTGCACGCCTAATTAGTGATCGAAATTCCTAAAATAAAATCAAATTGAATTTTAATGACCTCTAATGACCTCTAATGACCTCTAATGACCTCCANTAGAGGTCGTAAGAGGTCATTAGAAGGTCAAACACTGGATTTTTTGCTGCTACTGTATTCCCTGGGTCCCTAGCTTTCGTTTGATGTGCATAAAGCCATAGTTGAAATATTTTCTATTTCTGGAGGTCATTAGAGGTCATTAGAGGTCATTAGAGGTCATTAAAATTCAATTTGATTTTATTTTAGGAATTTCGATCACTAATTAGGCGTGCACCCAAAAAATTGGAAGATTTGAACCAAAAATGAAGGCAGCCCCCCCCCCCTAAATCAAATGTGCCAACTCCACCATCCCCTTTACATGTTGCACTCGCAAGAGTTAACTCATTACTTTTTTTAAGCTTTCTTGTATAAGTTTTATTAACTTTTTAAAGTCAGTTAAATTTCTCTTATCAAATTTACATACACGCACTAGAAGGCAACTTACATTGATTATTTCAATATCTTCGTTTTTGCAAATGCTATACATGGGACTTTTTCAATTGATGTAAATTTTCTGAAGCCAAACCAAGTTGCAAGCCTGATGTTATGACTGACAATATGTTATGTACATGATTTCCATCCATCTCTACTCTCGCTTAACAACTTGTCTATTTTCAGTGAATATTTAGATTTAGTAAAATCCTACAACTTGCTTTTAACAATGTCTGAATCCACGGCAACTGAGGCGGCTGATAAAAATGTTGAGATCTGGAAAGTGAAGAAGCTGATCAAATCTCTAGAAGCTGCAAGGGGGAATGGAACATCAATGATTTCTCTTATCATCCCTCCAGGTCAGACACTTAAATCTTCTCAGGTTTTTATAATTCAGCGGGTTATTTTAACCCCTAACAAGTTGTGTCATGAATATTGAAGATGCATTTCAACCCCAAAACACCCCCTCCCCCCCGGTCCATATACATAAAGATTTCCTAGACTTTATAGGGTTAAATCCCAATTTCAACTTTACCCTTTATATGGGAATGTCCAATTCACAGCAGTATCCAAATCAGCGATGTCCGTTTAAGCAAGATCAAATTGGTTTATTTAGATTTCTTGGTAGTAATAAATAATTGACCTGAGTCTGGCTTTCTTCAATTAGTGTCAGTTTTATTTCGACTTTGTTCTTTGTAACTGCTAACGGAAATGTTTGTTTCAATGGCACGGTTCAGCTTAATATATCTAAAATTACTTTTTTGATAAACGGGTGTATATAATTCCATATTTTTGATTCTTTTCCCCCCCCTCTAAATTTTTTTTGAATTTCTTCCCCAAACTCGACAACGTTAAAGACATAAGTTAAACTCTTCTTAGATTTATTATAGATCGTCTAAAAAAAATTTACTTATTCTTACTTAATTAAACAGTAAAAGTCTACAGGGACATGAGACTGGTTTTCTTGGTTCCTTCTCCTTCCCTTCTTCCCTTTTCCTTCCCTTTTCCTTCCCTTTTCCTTCCCCTTCTTCCCCTTCTCCTTCCCCTTCTTCTTCCCTTCCCTTTCATTCCCCTTCCCCTCTTTTGTGACCTTTGATTTCTTTCCCCCCCCCAGGAGGAGGGGGAATTGAATTATATACACCCCTGTAATGATTAATGTCTATGCAGGTGATCAGATATCCCGTGTTGCAAAAATGTTGGCTGATGAATACGGAACTGCTTCTAATATTAAATCCCGAGTGAATCGTCTATCTGTGCTTGGCGCCATTACATCTGTACAACACAGACTGAAACTTTACGCCAAGGTTCCTCCAAATGGTCTGGTAAGTTCAGCGTCTAATATAAATGTGAAATGAGAATTAAGTTACCATTGGCTATTTGGACTAAGTCAATAATTTTCTCTACTATTTGCAGTAACTGGTCGCTTACAATGTATGACTCCAATTTAAATAATTTCAAAAATAAACAGCTGGTGTAGATCCGATATTGCAATAGGCCGGAAAGATAGTAGGTCAGAAGTTCAGTAGGGAGGATGTTGCGTATCGACGATGTAACATAACCTTCATATTATCAATGCCCAAGCTTTTTTTTATTTTCCTACTTTACAATTCATAGGTTTTAGTTAAATTGGAACATCTGATAATGAAATTTGGGGTTTATTCGCAGATTTGGGGACAACGTTCCTTCAATTTATGATTTTTCATATTTACATCGTAATAATTTGTAATCTGCAAAGAGAAATTCTACTCTTCTTCTTATAAGGGATGTAGCCAGACACTATGCTAAATTAATAAAACCATATCCAGTATCCGTTCTAAGCATTTTTGGATTTATATAATTCATTTAATTCGGAATTGGAACATTTGATTTTGAAAATTAGGCTTTAGTCGCAAAGTTGGGGACACTTTTTCCAATTTATGATGTTTCATAATTTTATTTCATATTTGTAATATGCAAAGAGAAATTCTACTCTACTTATTATAAGGGATGTAGCCAGACACTATGCTAAATTAATAAAACCATATCCAGTATCCGTTCTTAACTTAAATGGATTTTTATAATTCATTTAATTCGGAATTGGGACATTTCATAAAGAAATTTGAGTAACAAAGAATGTTTTCGCGAAGCGTCTACATTTTTGGGTTTATTCGCTGAATATGGGACAACGTTCTTTCAATTTATGATATTTCATAATTTTACATCATAATAATTTGTAATCTGCAAAGAGAAATTCTACTCTACTTATTATAAGGGATGTAGCCAGACACTATGCTAAATTAATAAAACCATATCCAGTATCCGTTATTAACTTAAATGGATTTTTTTAATTCATTAATTCGGAATTGGGACATTTGCTTATGCAATTTTGGGGTTATTCGCAGAGTTAGGGACAATTCTTTCAATTATGATATTTGATAATTTTATATCATACAATTTGTAAATTTCGACTTATGCAGCATATGCAATGAATGATATGACGAATATGTTTATCCTTCAAAGACAATGTTGCTAAATTATTTCCTGAGGGATATTTTAGAATAGATATATTTTTTCTATCCTTAATCCCTACCTGATACATTATAGTTCTATTTATCATGAACTCGCATTTAGTGAATCTCTGGATGAGAAGTTAATCTTAATATTTCAAGATTAGATAATTCATGATTATTTAGGTTATTTACTGTGGAACAATTGTGACTGAGGAAGGGAAAGAGAAAAAGGTACAACTTGGATGTTAAAACTTGTTAATTATTAGTTAATATGGGGGGGGGGGGGGGGGAGTTTTCACAAGTTGCGAAAATTGAATAACATTCGACCATTATTTAGGTTAATATTGATTTTGAGCCTTTTAAACCCATCAATACTTCTCTCTACCTTTGCGATAACAAATTCCATACAGAAGCTCTTACAGCATTGTTAGCTGATGACAATAGGTAGCAATTTATTTTAATAAATTTATTTCAAACATTTTTTTATTTCATGTAGTCATTTCAAAAGACATTTATTAAGAATAGCATATCTGATTCACAGCGGCTGACACAATGTGATAAAATCTCGTTGGTTTTAGTTGACAGGCTGAAGGAAAATTATGGAAATTAAAATCGTGCAAAGCTTTTAAGGGGTATCATTTTGAATTGGACATGCCCCTTTAGGATACTGCTCCCTTCAAAATTCGGTTTGAAAACAATTTTTCCTACATTCATCCAATTTAAACAAATCTGTTCATTAAAAGAGTTGGCTCATGATCTAAAATAGATTTTTCACTTAGAGAAGTTTCTAATTAAGCGTTCCATTTGTATTATCTAATAAACAGTAAACCGTTCAATTAATTTCTGCATCCTTTTAACCCAAACTAAATGTTAAGGTTCGGGTTTATTATCATGGATGGAAACGGTGCTCTGTTCGGAACTCTTCAAGGGAACACGAGGGAGGTTTTGCACAAATTCACTGTAGACCTGCCTAAGAAGCACGGTAGAGGAGGACAGTCGGCGCTTCGTTTCGCCCGTCTGCGTATGGAAAAGCGTCATAACTACGTGCGTAAAGTCGCTGAGACAGCTGTGACGCTGTTTATCTCTAATGATAAGCCTAACTGCTCTGGATTGATTTTGGCAGGATCAGCTGATTTCAAGACCGAGCTCTCTCAGTCAGACATGTTTGATCAGAGACTACAGGCCAAGGTAAAAGATTTAATTTTATTTTGGATTAAATAATATTTCTTGTGTTGTACCAAATACTGTTAATAATCTAAAGCAGTTGCTCTACAAAGTGTGATGGAATAGCATAGGCTTTTTTATTTCTAAAAATGTTATGAATTTTTCATAATTGGTGAAATAGTACATACAACCTTCCTACATATTGATTTTATCAGGCGGGATTTCTTTATTTGTATCTTAATTATGGATTCTTGAATAATGACAAATGTTTAGATCATCAAACTAGTTGATGTATCCTACGGTGGTGAGAATGGGTTTAACCAGGCTATTGAACTCTCTGCCGAGTCCCTCTCCAACGTCAAGTTTATTCAGGAGAAGAAGTTGATCGGCAGATACTTTGATGAGATCAGTCAGGTAGTTTAAAGTTCCTTGTTATAATGGACCCCATCAAAAGCAGGCTGCATAAATTATCATTTTTTGTGAACTAGTTCTGTGCCGCACTGCAGTTCTTGGAATTGGGCATGGATTTTATCAGTGTTGGCTTTCAGAATGTTCTAGTAGAAAATATAAGGTTTTAATAATTAGTTTTAAACTTGGGCAAATAAGAAATAAAAGCTTGTGTTCTGAGAATTGTATGTCTTCTAAAAATAATAATTTTTATTCCAGGATACTGGAAAATATTGTTTTGGAGTTGAGGATACTTTGAAGGCTTTAGAGATGGGTGCTGTAGAAACATTGATCTGTTGGGAGAACTTAGATATACAGGTTAGTTAGGGTATACTTAGATATACAGGTTAGCTAGGTTACACTTTGATATACAGGTTAGTCAGGGTACACTTTGATATATAGGTTAGTCAGGGTACACTTTGATATACAGGTTAGTCAGGGTAGGGTACACTTTGATATACAGTTAGGGTATAGTTAGATATACAGGTTAGTCAAGGTATACTTGGATATACAGGTTAGTCAGGGTATACTTGGATATACAGGGTAGTCAGGGTACACTTTGATATATAGTCAGGGTAAACTTTGAAATACAGGTTAGTCAGGATATACTTGGATATACAGGGTAGTCAGGGTACACTTGGATATACAGTCAGGGTAAACTTTGATATACAGGTTAGTCAGGGTACACTTGGATTTACATATTAGTCGGGTATACTTAGATATATAGGTTAGTCAGGGTATATTTAGATATAATATAGATTTAAAGGTTAGTCAGGGTATATTTAGATATACTGGTTAGTCAGGGTATATTTAGATATACAGGTTAGTCAGGGTATATTTAGATATACTGGTTAGTCAGGGAATATTTAGATTTACAGGTTAGTCAGGGAATATTTAGATATACAGGTTAGTCAGGGTATAATTAGATATATAGGTTAGTCAGGGTATATTAAGATAATATATAGGTTAGTCAGGGTATATTTAGCTATAAAGTTTAGTCAGGGTATATTTAGATAATATATAACAGTCAGGGTATACTTAGATTTACAGGTTAGTCAGGGTATATTTAGATATAAAGTTTATTTAGGTTATATTTAGATAATATATAGGTTAGTCAGGGTATATATAGATATAACGGTTATATAGGGTATACTTAGATATATAGGTTAGTAAGGGTATATTTAGATATATAGGTTAGTTAGGGTATATTTAGATATATAGGTTAGTCAGGGTATATTTAGATATATAGGTTAGTAAGGGTATACCTAAATGTAAAGGTTAGTCAGGGTATATTTAGATGAATATGTTATAAAAGGTATACTTAATTAAAAATTTAAAGGTTAGTATGGAGGCCGAATTTTAAGATTTCGATTCGTGTCTTAATTGGAACCGGTTTTTTGGCGGTTCAGTGACTTGGTTTAAATTGAACTATATTTCTGGGTAATTTAATCACTTTTTTCAAACTGTGAAAGTGTTAGGAGATCTCCATATTTCTGAAATGATATTTGTATAGTTAATTCTTTATATCGGACTAGGATATTTGTTTATTTAGAGAGTGACACTGAAAAACCATTCTACGGGAGAGGAGAAGATATTGTTTTTAAACTCGGAACAGGAGAAGGATAAAACTCATTTCATGGATCAGGTATATTAGACTAGAAAATGGGGGATGTGGGTTACTGCCAGTTTTAAATTTTTTATCTTTCAAATTTTATTTAGGAGAAGGGTTAAAAATCTGTAACTCTTATTTCTGATTGTAATGTCGATTTATAATTTAATGTTTTTTAATATTTTTTATTTCTCATAAGATATTTTGGCTATGCAATGGGGGAAATCTTTTTCTATTTTCCCTGTGATTTTTCCCCACATCGTTTTGGTCTGTCACTATCTAATGTTGTTCTTTCTTAAAGGAGACTGGAGTTGAAATGGAATTAGAAGACAACCTGCCTCTCCTGGAATGGTTGGCTAATAATTATAAAACCTTTGGAGCTCAACTAGAAATCATTACGGACAGGTTAGGATAGGTTGAAACATAACTGCACTGGCTAAGCTGGAGTAGTGAGGGGTGGGGACGGGGGGGGGGGGGGGGATAAAGCCTTCATGAGCGCCACAAAATTGTGGTTAAACCTCTGTATTAAAATAACCTGGCAGCAGTCCTGCACTTATGAATTGAGTTAATGGAAGACAAAAAATCATTTTTCAAAGAAAAGAATTATAAAATTTATACGTTACTTCTTAAATATCTAATCTTAATGAATGGTGACAGTTCCGGGTCATATTAAATACCTAATTGCGAATCCGGAGGTTTGGAAATCATTTCGCGGGGCTCATGGCGTCCCTGCAGCCCCTCCCTCGGTGGATGGATGTGGGATGAAGAACGTAGAAATGAAATATGGTGAAATTCAATGTTGTCAGAATTTCTTGGAGATATCTGTGCCCTGGAGTCGTATGGATTTGCGTTATTTGGCTCAACGTTTGTATTTGTTTCAGATCGCAGGAGGGATCCCAGTACGTGAGAGGATTCGGAGGAATCGGAGGAATGCTTCGGTACACAGTCGATTTCCAGGTACTTCTTATTTACAATTTATTAGAATTATTTTGTGATTTAAGGAAATCTGACATTTGTGTTAAAAACTTATACTTAGACCATTCAAAAAAAGTATTTTTTGTGTTTTTTAGTCGTTACAGCTGAATGATCTGGACGGAGAAGAGTTTGATCTGGACGATTATTAAAGAGGAGAATTCGGCCAAGAAAGACGAAATGGACGGACGGATGTCACTCCGGAGTTTTAATTCGGACGAAATGTTGTTAAAGACTCAACTTCCAGATTCTTGTTTGTTTATTTGAGCAATCCAAATATAGAAAATTTGACAAAAATAGGTTCAATCTTAAGGGGTGGGTAGTTTAGTCGAGTCGCATTTATTTGATAGTACACTCCAAGCCAGGTTTAGGAATTGTAATTATTTAAATATAAATCTTATATTATATATATTATGTGAAATATACATTAACTGTATGCAATGAGATCTTAAAATCAAGTTTGTTTATGTTTTTAGCAATACGTCGAAGTGTTCGTAGAAGTTTTTTTGTATATTGGAAATCAGTGCTAAGGATGTATTAAATCTTCAGCTTTTATGGTAAAGTTCACCCCTGAGATTATTTTTCTAGCTTTCTTGAGATCAAAACATGGTTGCATGTCTTGGTTGATGTTTTGTCCTGTGTATATACTTTACACTTGGATCTGATCTAGGAAGCGAAGATATTACTAGTCCATGGATTTGAGATTAAGATAACCAATGTTGAAATTCTGACTGAAATAAATAAATGTCTGCCGTCTCCTCATTTGTTGGTGATTAGGTATAATTCTTGCTTTGATTATAAAAAGAAAATTTTAAGATAATGACTAAAAATGAGACGTGATGAATGTAAGACAGTAAATGAAGGACCACCATGAACCAATTTTATACTAGAAATTTATAAGATTTTTCGTGATAACGCAGATGGAAAATCATTTCAGTTTTTGCTATATTTAAAGGTTGAAAAAATAATTTAATCTTTGCTACAAACTAACTGATAAGTTTTGAAAGAATATTTTTTTTTTCAAAGCGACCGTTTTGAAATTATCGAAAACAAAATTTTTAATGACGTCGTTTAAGATTTTTCAAAATTAAAGCTTTTTAAAATTTTCGTTTTCATAATTTTTAAAAACGACAACTTTTCAAAACGATCGGTTTGAAATTTTCCAAAAATTAAATCTAAACTAAAGCGCCCTTTTCTACATGTTACACGTCCAACTGTCTAGGGTTACTCACAAAGGAAGATTCTTCAGAGACGACTGTTTCGAATTTGTAATATAGATTACATGTACAGGGTGTTTTTTAATCTTGTCAATTTTGAAACTTTATAACTTTTAAATTTTTGTAATATTTCCGTTATGAAAATATTAATGGAAAGTGTATTATGAAAGTGAGAAAATTTCTAAAAATCCGCGAAAAAAATCAAATATCAAAAATAAAAAAATTTGCAAATGCTAAATTATTGGCCACTCGGTACAGATTTTAGTTTTTATATTTTCTTACTTTAAACCTTCAAGGAGAATGTTCTCCAAGGAACAGTAAATATGGTTAGTTCAAGACTATTTAGCCGAAACTGAAATCTCATTTAGTACGGGTTCTGGAAGAAAAAAGTAGCATTTATTTTTCGGGCTTTAGGGGATATTAGTTTCACTGGAGGGATATTTTCTTCACTGGAGGGATGCTGCAAATCACCCTGAGCACTAAATTTTCCACAGTATGAATAATGACACTAAGCACACAATTACTCCACCCAAGGAATGGTAATTAACACTCATGACACTAATTACCCCACTGGTGGGATAGTAATTTTCACTCAGGACACTAATTACTCCACCAGAGGGATGATAATAACCATCAAGGACACTAATTACTCAACCAGAGGGATGATAATAACCATTAAGGACACTAATTACTCCACCAGAGGGATGAAAATAACCATTCAGGACACTAATTACTCCACCAGAGGGATGATAATAACTATTAAGGACGCTAATTACTCCACCAGAGGGATGATAATAACCATTAAGGACACTAATCACTCCACCAGAGGGATGATAATAACCATTCAGGGCACTAATTACTCCACCAGAGGGATGATAATAACCATTAAGGACACTAATTACTCCACCAGAGGCATGATAATAACCATAGAGGACACTAATTACTTCACCAGAGGGATGATAATAACTATTAAGGACACTAATTACTCCACCAGAGGGTAGGGATGTTAACGTTTTAATTTTTTTTTAAAACGATCGTTTTTTTTCGTTTTTCAACAAAAAAAAACAAAAAAAAGGAAAACGAAAAAACTATCGTTTAACGATCGTTTTCAAAAACGATTAACAACCCTACCAGAGGGATGATAATAACCATTCAGGACACTAATTACTCGATCGGAGGGATGATAATAACCATTAAGGACACTAATTACTCCACCAGAGGGATAATAATAACAATGGGGACACTTATTATTTCACTGATGGGATGATAATAACCAGTAATGACACCAATTACTTTACTGGAATGATGATGTTAATCACCCCTGGCACTAATTATATAAGTTAAAGAATTTAAATGATTTTTATCCTATTCCAAACACTTAGAATCCATAAAAAAAATCTTAAAATAGTGGTATATGTGCTGTACTACGATTAATGAATGGGTTGTTTTCACCTGGAAATAACTTTTTTTAAAAGATAGATTTGGGATCAAAACTGGTAAGCAAAGAAATGATGTTTTCTTATCTTACTACTAAACTGCAACTTTTATGTGATAGTATAAGCTGGGATTTTTAGGAATTACATTTTATTATTAAAGAACATAGTAATTGGTTTTGATTTGCTTGAGAGATTTAAAATAAAAAAAATAATGTTTTGCTTTATGCCTACTGTACCTTCATAATAGGTTCCTTCTTTAAAAAAAAAACAGAATAAAACATATTGAACAATTATAAACACAATGACATGGCTCAAAATTATAATAAAATACTTTAAAGTGCTTAAAAAGAAAATAATCAATGCTGGGCGAAAAAGTGGAGAGACAAAATAATCATGAATTTTGACGCCATTATTGGTCCAAACAAAAACTGGTTTGGTGCAACTTCCCTCGCTCCCTTAACAGAGCTTTGCTCTATTTTGTTCCCCGTGCCTATGTATTACAGGCATTTTCCATTTTCTGTTGTGCGCACATGCCCCGTAGAATTCCAAAACAGATAGAGGGGAATTGAATTTTGTAGATACAGAAAAATAATATTGTTAACCATTAACTTTAAGACTCCGGATAATGTCGTCTTCAACGTAAAATTTCCTCTCGGAGACAGGCCAAACCAAATTTTCAGCCCGCAATTCCCTTTGTACTTCTCCCACGGAGCTTAAAATATTTTCGTTGTTGTGAAATCATTAAAGTTAAGCAAAATATTTTCATAAGAAGCATTAGTGAATTTCGTTAAATATTCAACTGTAATTTTTCAGAAGTTAAAAAAACGTATTTCAATACTGATCAACAATAAGTCACCCCCGACCATCCCTAAATAATTCGTAAGATTTTTTCTACTATTAATATTCATTATAACATTGTACAAGTAACCATGACCTATAATTTATGTTATTTTTTAGGAAATAAAGATTTTGTTATCGAATTTTTGAGACGGGGTTACTCTGTTGTGTGTATTTTGTGCGGCCTATCGGGAAAGAATTGTCCGGGGAAAATAAACATCCCCCACAAGAATCCTAACTGGCCTATTATCCTGATTTGTCTAGCGTGTTGCTGTTTTCTGTCAACAAATATCTGTGGGATGCCTGCGTAGAGACTGCCAGCTGGTTGGGTCTTAAATGTAAGACATGTGGCCGCAGCGCTCGGCCCTCTAGCCTGTCCTAGCCGCAGAGCTCGGCCCAGAGAGTGTCATCTTAACCTAACCCGTGGCTGCAGGGCTCGGCACCCTAGCCTGTCCTAGCCGCAGCGCTTGGCCCAGAAAGTGTCTTAACCAAACCTAACCCTAAATAAATACTAATTTAATTATTTTTCTGGATCTACAAAATTCAATTTACGGGGCATGTGCGCACAACAGAAAATGGCAAATACTTGTATAACATCAAACCTGACTTTTTGAGTTTTATACAATTTTCAAGGTAAATAAAAACTATTGTAAAATGTTTGCGTTATAGCTATGCATAGTTTGTTTTTTCTTAAATATTTCCAGTTTAATCCGGGCTTGAACGAGTTTGCAACAATTTTGAAAAAATTAATTCAGAGTCTTCTAAATAAGAATTAATTAAGTATTTAATTAAATGTTTTATTGTAGATAAATACAGTAAATATTTGTTTAAATCAATGTAGAATATATTCATTCCTAAATTCTTGATTTTTATCTTTAATATAAAAACTCAGTTTAATTGTTCACACATATTTTGATGACTTTGAGCTAAGATGGGGGTAAGTTACATTTCTATTAATATTATTTTATATCTGACGTACAGAAAATCTTAATTAGATTTATATATAAGTTAAGTCTTTGTCAAAACCTTCAATTTTCTAGTACTTATATCTATGCAACTTGATGGCGTAAACCTTTGATATTTCAAAACCTAGATGATTTAATCTACCAGAATTCAGAGTTTAAAATATCTAAGGTCTACGACATTTTGTTTCAAAGATTTTGGGATTAGTAAATCAGAGTTTGTGGCAAAGACTCAATTCCTCAAGTTTGAATGTTTCTGCGTTAAATTTTAAGTGTGTTTATATCCAATGAACTTCATATGGCCAAAAGAAATTGAATCTTTGATACAAACTCTGATTTTCTAATCCCTATATCTGAGCTACCCAATGTCGTAGACATTGATTTATTTTACAGGGTTACCCACAAAGGATGAGACTTCTGAGACGACTGTACAGAATGTATACTGTCTGTTTCTTTACATTCATGATTCCCCGTAACTGTAAAAGTGTGCCTTTCTTTGCCAAATAATCTAAGATATAGGTCTTATTCTATTTGAATTACTGTCAACAACTCAGTTTCTTTACCATGTTATCTGAGTCAAATGACCCAAGCAAAAGTTATATGGCCCATTCACTGAAAATTCTGATTTATTTTAAATACTGTATCGGCTTAAACAAGAAGTACAAGATGCATTTAGACTATTGAGAGTACAATGAGACAGTGCCCAACATGAATTATCAAAATTCAAAATTTAGTCTCAATTAAATTTTAATTTCAAAAAATCATCTATTTTTTTTGTTTATTTTCCAACTTTAGGTTCACAGTTTTACAGTTTAATCTTGAATCAAACTATTTCATCTTGTTGATATTTAGACCAAAATGAAGATTACCTTCCTTACTGTGAGCATTTTAATAGGAGTCTCCATTTCTGAAGGTAGGTTTATGTTCTGTTAGGATAAAATCTACTTTTCACATTTATAGCATGTTACCCACTTTTTCAAGTATGCAGAGCTGAAAACTTTAGAATGAGATATCCTTAATCCTGATCGCTTAATCTGAGTATCCAATGTACACACTTTTGATTTTATTCTTAATCCTCTTTTTTTTATATCACTTGTATAAAAGTTACGTTTGATAACAATTACAGATACAATGCTTCATCGATTGAACTAATATCCAATTGAATTAAATTTTTAGCTGTTCACAAGCCGGCTTTTAGAGCGATTGAGCAAATATAATTTTAATCATGTTAGTATGAACAGCTACTAAAAATATATTTTATCAGATTTTAGGACTATCATCATTTTAAACGAGTCTTAACAAACATTAATCCAAAATTTACATTTATTTAATCGATGTAATTAGTTCAGTTGATATGACACAATCAACACTAGAAAAAAACCGGTTTTACAAAAAATAAAGAGTACATCTTAACATGATACGTTGATTGGCTGAATTTTATGCTTCTTTCTTGGATACCGAATGCGTATTAAAGTAATCCACCATTCTAAAGTTTTCAGCCCAGGCTCGATTTTCCCTATCTTTGACATTTTTTAAACCCTCTTGATCACTCAGACAACTTAAATTGGGTATATTTTTGAAATTTTAATGGCTTATTTATAAACTCAATTGATTTCTTCTCCTTGCATGGCTGGATTTGCTGGATATAAAAATTACTCTGAGGCCAAATTTAAAGAATTTGAGCCGTGGATTAACTTTGAGATGCAGTTCAAATATGATTGGTTCCACTTTAAATCGTATTCAATGTTTCAAGATTTAAGCTGGCACTCAATTGAAACTGGATTTTGGCGGATTGAGACACGGCTCAAATTCATTTAATTCGGACTATGATGTTATTTGAATTTCATTTTTTTTGCATGACTAGACAGTGAAATCATCATATTTTGATTGCAGGTGCAAAAATCACTGATGACACAGAAAGCATACTTAGCCTAGCAAAATCTCTTCTGCTTCAGCCTGACATGATTGCAGACCTAGCTGGTATTACCAGGATACGTAGAGATACCAGTAAACAGAAGTTTACTTGGGATCATCTTGGGATAACTGTCATCTTAGAGTTAAAAAATCAGGATAACCCATTTAAAGGAGTAGAAGCTGAGGTTGAAATCAAAGATCTGTCAGTTCTAGTTCCTTATACAACAATAGGTTTTGTTAAATTTTTCATTGTCCTTGTGGGAGGCGAAGGTTCCAAAGATAGCATCTTTGATCTGCAGATTGATTATGAACTTCATCATGACCATGTTGAGAAGGGAAAACTAGCTCTGGTGATATCTCTAGACAATGACCGACATTATACTCTTAAACTTGATGTTGAAACATCCTTAGACAAAGAGAAACAATTTGTTCATCCATTTACTCTCACATTAGCAAATACAGAGTTCAATCCAGAGTTCAGTCAAATAGAAGGAAGCTACACAGACCAGGATTATCATGGATGCCCAATTACGATCAAGAAATTGTATAGCAAAATATTCCTGATTGTTGAACATCCAGAGAATAAAAGTAATATCATAGAGTTTGAATTTGACATGCAGACATTTTCATCAAGATTGTATTTTGATAGTCATCTTCATTACGTAGAACTTTTATCTGTATATCATAAAGAGAGCATTCAAGTAGGCGGGACCCTACTTATTCATCAATTAGGAGGTTTCACTTTTAATCTAGATGTTTCAAACAAACTGAAGAACTTCTTTTTTCATCTAAAGATTGGCCACAATGGACAAAAGATTTTGTCCTTTCATTTCAGAGAAATTCCTGAATATTTACTGAATATGGATGAATATCAAGCATTTGAAATATTTGCAGGAACTGATCTTGATCTTGAAGATCTTGAAGATCCTGAAGATCTTTTTATTGATCTTCCTCTGTTAAGAATAGCTCTGAGGCAAGAATATACTGACATTACTGAAGTTGATGAAATGGAACTTTTTTCTCCTATTTTTGATAGTAGATTTGTGGTTAAATGTGCATCAACATCACATAAAAAAAGAAAATTCCCAAAAAGTTCTCGCACATCCAGACTAACCTCTGGGAATATGCCGAAACATTCTTTGCATTTGTTTGCTGAAATGAATCAGAAAAGACATTTTGAGTTGAATGCTGTAACACAATCAGAAGGAGAGGAACTGGAAAGGGGGGAAATAACTGTTGAATTGATAGATTTCAAATCTTTAATGAAGATCAAGTTCTATACGGATTATTACAATCTCACTAAAGGACTTGAAGTAGAAGCATCAATTGATGGTTTGTATCTCAAACCACTCCTTATAGAAGTTAATCAAAAAAAGATTATTGTGAGTGGGTTGACAGGATTAGATGGAAGTTTTGATATTGATGTTGAACGTAATCTTCGAAAGTTTGATATATCTTGGGGCGGGCACCATGTCAATAGAATCTCAGGCAGAAAGCAACTGAGCAGAAATATAAACCTAGATGTTTATAAAGTTAATTTCTTCACATCTAATTATTCTGGCAGGTCTGGAAGTTTAATGCTGGTAAATGGATACAATAAAGTGAAAGTATTTCTTCAAGAATTAGAAACTGACTTGAAAGTTTCATTGGAAGTAAGGAAAACATCTCAGGATTCCTTTGAGATTGATGGATTTGGAACTGTCTTTGGGGGATCTCCATTATTTAAATGGAACAGTCACGCTACAGTTCAAAACAATGGAATTTATTTTAGCATAGTTGCAGGTGGAAACCAATCTTTCAATATCTTTCAGATTGAATTATCTGAAAGTTTTGAATTAAAGCTTGACATGAATTCACTTCATGATTTATATCTTCAAGGAAATCTGTCATCCAACATTTTTCCTTCTGGAATTCTGAAACTGAATACACTTGGGCCCTATCAATTCAAGTTGAGTGCTCCAATGCCAGATCAAACATATTTGGACATTGATATTGATCCTGCTACTGGGACCTTCATGAGTGTCATGTCTGGCATTTATTCTCCAGATAGTTTTGAGGTAGAAATCAATCAAAAGCATTTTGTTCTGAAGTGTGATCCTCAATTTGCAAACTTTGAATTTACTTTAGATATGCCAGATAATAGTCAAATAGAAATTTTATCCAACCCAGCTGATGGAAACATTTTAAGCATCAAATCAAACAATTTCTTTGGCTTTGAATCTTTGGAAATTGTAACAGAAGGAGAGTGGAAGAATCTTGTTCTGAATGGTCTTAATATTGCAACGTATCAATATTGTTTATTTGAAAAACACGTTAGTATAGAAATGTATGGAGTTGTGGCAAATGTGAACTGGGACTTTGCGCCCTACTACACACAAGGAAGGCTGAACACCTTCAACGTGGATTTATCAGCAAAAGGAGTATCAATATCCAGTAACCTAACCATGGACCTTAGCAGCATGATTCTTGAAATAGAAGAGACTATCAGTATTCCTCAGCTCCCAGCTATATCACCAATAAAAGCAAAGATCAAAGGAGAGCCAAGGCAGAATCACCTAATGAAAATAACTCTGTCTACTGCTGGAAAAGGCTTCAGCTTCTCACTGGATTCAGATAATCAATACAATGTGTTTGTTTCAGAAATAAGTGCTATTCCTGAATCTGATTATGTTGATGGGATTAATCCAGATGACGCTAATAGTCATGGAATTTAAGATGACTATTATGATTAGTGGATTCCAGATGGCCATGATTATGAGGGGGTTCCTGATGATCCTGATGATTAAAGTGGGGGTTTAAGACTAAATTATTGTTTTAAGTAATTGAAATATTAATCTGTATCGATTGGCAGCTATAAAAATAAAATAAATATCATTGATTCAAAAAATTGTAAAAAAAATTCTGTGTTCTTTCACTTTTCTCTTTCCCTATTGTAGGATTATGTTGCCTACTCCCCTTCAGGGGTTAAGCATATAGTCCTTAATTTCAGCCAGAACAATTTGGTTCTGAACATGCCTTGCTGTCAACAAGGATAAATCATTAAAAACTAAAGAAAATTACAACAAAATCTTTCTTATGTGAACTTTGAATGAATATACCCACCAAGAGATTATGAAATAGCAAATAAAAAAATGGGTTAAAGTGGTTCTAATGTTAAGACTCCCTAAACCTTGAACCAGGACCTCTAGCTTATTGTGATGAGTTATATTTGAAAACGTGTTTGTGTTAGTCTGAGTGAAAATGATAGAGTTTTACCTAATTTTCTAACTTATAATTCATTTTTTTCAATTTTGTTTGTCTATTTATAAAAGGGAGAAAAAATCAAAACTTTTTCAGATAAAAAACCGACAATATCTCGACACTATTTATTAGATCAAAATTTTAAGGTGACTTTTTTAAATGAAGAGTCAGATATGTGTGCAGTGCCTTTTTGTAGTAGATTAGCACATATATTTCTGTTCATTAGCATCACTTTCTGTTAATTGTAGTAAATTAGCAGATATATTTCTGTTCATTAGCATCACTTTCTGTTCATTTTTGTAGTAAATTAGCAGATATATTTCTGTTCATTAACATCACTTTCTGTTCATTTTTGTAGTAAATTAGCAGATATATTGCTGTTCATTAACATCACTTTCTGTTAATTGTAGTAAATTAGCAGATATATTTCTGTTCATTAGCATCACTTTCTGTTAATTTTTGTAGTAGATTAGCAGATATATTTCTGTTCATTAACATCACTTTCTGTTCATTTTTGTAGTAAATTAGCAGATATATTTCTGTTCATTAGCATCACTTTCTGTTAATTTTTGTAGAAGATTAGCAGATATATTTCTGTTCATTAGCATCACTTTCTTTAAATTTTTGTAGTAAATTAGCAGATATATTTCTGTTCATTAACATCACTTTCTGTTAATTTTTGTAGAAGATTAGCAGATATATTTCTGTTCATTAGCATCACTTTCTGTTAATTTTTGTAGAAGATTAGCAGATATATTTCTGTTCATTAACATCACTCTCTGTTAATTTTTGTAGAAGATTAGCAAATATATTTCTGTTCATTAACATCACTTTCTGTTAATTTTTGTAGTAGATTAGCAAATATACTTCTGTTCATTAACATCACTTTCTGTTAATTTTTGTAGTAGATTAGCAGATTTATTTCTGTTCATTAACATCACTTTCTGTTAATTTGTGTTGCTGTTGTTAACAAAACTTTGCCCGCCCCTAGACAGTAAAGTTTGCCAAACTAAAAGCCTTTTTTTCTTGACTTGAATAGAATCCCGGAAGGTTGAACAGTTTTGTAATTGGATGAAAATCTGTTAAATGAGATTTAATTCACAAGTTTCAGAAATATACTTGATAAAAATTTAACTACTTATAATTGTGAGAAATCAGGATGCTCCTTGGCCTGGATGTTTGTGCAATTTGGCTAATTACTACTTTTCATCTAAAGCGAAAAGCAACTCCCAACAAAATCAAACCAATGTTGATCTTGTCTCAATAATTGACGCAGAATTTTCATAGTTTTCTGAATCTGTGGGCTTACCATCTAATAAATAATTTTATATGAAATATGAAAAAGAGTCATTACAAATAATTGATGATAACTGAAGGAGCCTTTCTCAATTGCTTGTTGAAATTGATCCTTTACTTATTGTTCAAATTTAATTGGTTTTCTCCTAATTCTCTCTTTTGCTCTGATTCCATTTTTCTCTAAATTTCTCTTCAAGCGTAACCATCAGTTAGATGCGATAGTTTACAAGGAGAAGATAAAATTCTAAATTAGAGGAAAATTACATTTCATACACATACAGGGTGTCCCAATAAACTTTGATTTAAACACAAGTCTTTGGATTTACGTATAATGGGTTGTCATTTACCTACTCTTAAAATTGAGAGAGATATCAAAAATTTATTTAATAAAAATGTCTAAATTTCTAAAATCTCTGTCTTTACGATAAGTAAAAGATTGGCCATTTTTTAAAATATCTAATTTTTTTATACCTTCTTACCTATCTAACAAAGGATTTGAGTTTTTGCCACAAGCTCAAATTTTCTAAGCCCTAAATTTTTGCAACCTAATGGTGTAAACCGATGATATTTCAAAATTAGATTACTTAATCTAACAGAAATCATTGTTTGAAATATCACAGGTCTACTAATCGGGTTGCTAAGATATAGGCGGGAAAACTTAGATTTTGTGGCAAAAACTCATGATCTTTAAATAATTCCCATGTTTACTGGGACACAATGCAGATCAGTGAAAACAGATGATTATTCAACCTGAGCTTGGACTTCTGAAATATCCAGCTGCAGTGCAGTACAAACGGGGTAAACTAGACAGGCTGGTACAAGGAAAATTTTTGACTGGCAACAATTGATGTTACATGAGCTAGTTATATTGGACAGAAAAGTTAACTTGCTAACTGGCAAGAGCAGTGTTGATATCAAACAGCCCAATTGACTTGCAAGAACCATTCTAACATTAAACTAAAACAAATTTTAAAGGATGGTGAACAATCTAAAGCTTAAAGCATGTATTTTAATTTACACTTTGTTGGCATGTATTTATTTCGGGAGTGGACCTCTAACTTTTATCATGGATACAGTAGCTTTAGTAGTATCAGTTTTTGCACTCTATATAATGTACATGTTTTTCAAATCCAGACCTTATACACAGCAAACTGTTATCATTGGACTAATGAAAATGTTGGTATTTTTTGTCCTCCTTGGTGTGATAAAACACTACATCCAATCAATAGCAATAAATGTGTTTGTGAACACCTTCAAGGCGCTGTTTATAGAGCATCCAACCTTGATATGTAGTTTATTTACTCCCCGCTGGATTTTGTTAGGGTCATTTACAACATTATGTTGGATAACGATATCAAAAACATTTCTAATTTTGTTCCCACACAAGTTCTTTAATCTACAACATGAAAAGTGGATCAGAGCAGGCATAGGTCTGACACTGATAGTCATAGCGGCTGACATTTGTATTCACACAGGACTGAATGGCCATTATTGCCTTTTTAGGTTTTCCTTTCATTTAGCAAATGAAATTGGAGTTGAAGTTACAATGTCTACATTCAAATCTCTTCCATGGTTTCTAATAATTATTCTGACTGTTGGAGAGTCAACTTCGTTCATTGTGCAGCAGTACAGAGCGTGGCGGCAAAGAGTGAACATTGTGCCTGTGCAAATCCCGATTGCCGTTATTGTTCCATCAATAGGAACTCCAGGTCCAGCAGCTGATGGAGGTTTGGCTGGAAATCCAGGTCCAGCAGTTCATGGAGGTGGGGTTGGAAATCCAGGTCCATCAGTTCATGGAGTTGGGGTTGGAAATCCAGGTCCAGCAGCTCATGGAGGTTGGATGGGAAATCCAGGTGCAGCAGCTCATGGAGTTGGGGTTGGAAATCCAGGTCCTGCAGCTCATGGAGGTTGGATGGGAAATCCAGGTCCAGCAGCTCATGGAGTTGGGGTTGGAAATCAGCAAGAAGATCAAAACACTAGTGAGAGAAAGCTATCAAGGAACATTACCTTGTTACAGGCATCTCTAGATATTATGACAACCATAATGCTTGACAACGTTCCCACAAGTGAAACAGTAGACTTCAAGTTTATATTATTTCATGTGAAAATGTTTATCATACGATTCCAAACTAATGCTCTACCACTAGTCTGGATACTGAGTACTGATGAAACCTTAGAATTTGCATTTCAACAGTGTAGAGTAATGTTGAACTTAAACTTTTGGCCTCAAGCAATTAGAGATTACTTTTCTTTAAACCTTTAAAATTTTATTGATGGCAAACTACAATAGAAATTTAACTTTGAAATAAAATTGAAAACGTGAAAACACGGAGAATTGTTATATATTTCATCATTTATACATTTCATATTAGTTTTAAAAAACGATTAACACCCCTTAGTTATACAGGGTGTCCTACAAAACACAACAGTTGATTGAAGACTTGAAGGTTGTCGTTAATTATTTGAAATAATTTGGAGCATACATTCGTCAAGTTACTTTTAAATGTACAATTCTTAAAACCACAATAAAAATTCTCATAGTCCTGGCATTTTCAAAATGTGGTCTGCTTTTTTTGTTTTTCAATCTACTGTAGTTATTAAAAATTTCGTTCGGATTTCAACTTAAATTGAATAAAACCAAATTGTGGAAATCTAAATGAAATCTCTTACACTTCCTGTAAATTTGAAAGTAAAAAATAGAAAGTTCCCATTTTGAAAATGCAAGGACAAGGGTCATTTCTTGATTATTAAATCAAGAAGTTAACTCATGAAAAAAGTGGAAAACTGAATGCACTCAAATTTCAAATTTTCATCTAACAAAATTTCTTGGAGCACCGGCATCAAATTCACCTTAGCAGAATCATTCGTTAAATTTTGTTGAATGATTCTGCTAAGGTGAATTTGATGCCGGTGCTCCAACAAAATTTGAAATTTCTGAGAGTGTGCTGCAAAAATATTTTCAAAGATAGAAGACCACTTTTATGTCGTCTCTCAGATGTCAAGTTTCGTGGGACACCCTGAATGTGTTTTGGAATGTATTACGAGGTGCGATAATTCAGTTTCGCAAACGAATTTTTTAAGGGGAACTTGTAGAAGTACACTTTATTTAAACCGGAGTATTTTTTAGATCAGTTGATATCAATCAGATCTTCGTTATCAGCTTCGTTCGTCACTGCAAGAAAATTTTCAGAATGGTCTCAAACCTCAATCCAGATCTTTGTCATTTTTAAATCTTGCTTCACAACTTTGTTTACAATGTAAAAGCATACTTTAAGCTATCTGGCAAACATACTTCTTGAACCCTTGCTAATATGGGTTGAACAATTTTTGCAATATCTTGGACTATTTTTTGGTCTGGATGGTCTTTTCCCGCCCAGACATGTCATAATCCTTCAAATATTTATTTTTCTTTCTTAAACTGATAAAAATGTCCGAACTAAAATCTGAAAAATCTGGTAAAATATTGGTGATATGCTGACCAATCAGTCAATATTATTTACATCTATCTATCAGCTGTCTCTATTATGTCAACTTTACAATATTTTAAACCAAAAATATTAAATCTAGAAAACATTAATTCTTTTTTCAATCCATTGAATTTAATTATTTCTAGATAAATAGAAAATAATAAAAAGCTTATTGGAGAAAGATATACAGGGTCACCCACAAAGGATGAGACTTGAGATACGATTGTATGGAATTTTATATAAATAAGCGTTAATTTAACCATGATATTGTACTAGTATTTAATTTTGTGGTCGTCTTTACAGTCTCTTCCATTGTGGGTAACCCTGTAGGTTGAGGTATATATGAGATGTAAAGATGAGAAATGCATCCATTTGCTTGAATTTAGAAGATAAAGAGGTTGCGTGATTATGACAGGATTTCAGAGAAAATTGTCGGCATTTTATGATTTTTTAAAATAT